TTAGTTAGTTGGTTAGTTAGTTAGTTAGTTAGTTAGTTAGTTAGTTGGTTAGTTAGCTATTTGCTTAGTTATTTAGTCGGCTAGTTTGTAAATCCGTTCGTCAATTAACCATTTATTGAGTATCCTGTCGAGATTATACGTTGCGCTATCATTTTTCGAGTGCTCCTTTGGTTGCTGATGATACCTGGGCCAGGTTGAAACTGCAATCCAGCCCATCATCGTTAAAGTAATAGGGTAAATACATTATATATTTATCATCTATAGGGAGTCTCGAAAACCTATTTATAAACAAAATTATCTTAAATCTTTCCTTTCTCATGGAGCGACAAATTTAATCGTTTTTTTTCAAGATTTCCATCGTTTCGAAATCCGGAAATATAGCTATCAATTAACGAAAGGATAACTTTTGCAACAGTTCGAAATGGATAATTAGTCTGTTTTACTTACAACTCGAGTCAGTTGCGAAAACATGAACAAATCACTTATATGCAGCAAAATGAGACCACACATCATCTTGGCCTTCATACCTTTTTCGTAAGTGAGTAGGTTTTAGAGACTACCAGTAAATCAGATATATGAGTTGTATTAACCCTATTTCGGTTAAGGTGATGGAGGACTGTGCAATTTAATTGTGGGAAAAGTCAACTACCAGTCCTTCATCACCTTAAATAAAATAGGGTGAATACACCTCATACTTTGACTAAACAAACAGCATTCTGGTTTGGATGAACTTTTAGTTTTTATTTGAGATGTATTTTCGGATTTTTTTATTTGAAGCCCATTTCGTGGACAATGGCCGAATCTGAGTCAAATGTCCAAAGTTCTACCATTTAAAGTGTCCCAAATGACTATGGTGTAACCAAAGCATGCTTTCATCATACTTGGACCCTTTAAAGAGTCTAATGATGATAGCGATACGAAATTTCTTTTATGGTATCCCTTTTAATGGATCATCTATAGATATTCATCACTCCAATTTGGCTAAATTTTTCTTCCCATTTGGGGATCTTGCACTTTGGTACATTTTAATTTTATATTCGGACCCCACCTCCATGTAACTCGTTTTGCGAATTATGAGCAAATCTAAGATACTTGTCCAAATTTCTACTAGATAAAATGTAGTATCATATGGGGGTACTTGAATTTTTAGTTTGATCTCATGCTACCACAATGGGACCCATTCATTCTTTAGTTTTGATAATTTTCCATTTTAATTCCCTTTTTCGCCTTGGTATGCTAAATTCATGGCCACATTTTGGCCTTATTAATTTATATTTCATATTCACTACAAGTTTACTGTCAGTATGGCCGGTTAACTGACCGCTTGGACCTGCTTTCCTCCGCTATTTTTCTAACAAAATTTTCCTTCCGATCATAGTCCTGCTTGCCTCATCTACTCACCTTTGTCTCAGGAACTTCTATTTGGGCCATCCCTCTTGCCTGTTAATTGCTTGGCATAATTATGAGTCAATGAGCTCCCCGCCGACCCAGCCTCAATTACCCCTTTCATCTGCCGACCGCCTTATTAGTGAATTCCCTCGTTGAGGTGATTGCGTGCTTATCGTGCTTCAACAATCTTACCCTCTCATGTCCCTAAGGCCCGGCCACTATGGTACTTGGTTGCCTGTAATTTGGGTCCCAAACTAACCCTATCCGCCCCAACAGTTGTCCAGCGAATCGGCGATTCGGCAATTCTGGCTGTCTTTCCAGCCTGCCGGTGGCGTGATGTACCAAAATTGATGACTCAGGCCTCTCCGGGCTCGTATTCGTCAGCCGACCCAGGGGGGTCTGGCTAAGTAAATTGTTGAATAAGTCTCCTCAACATGATGCAGTCCACCTCTTTCCCTCGAGTTTGTGCATCCGCCCAATCTGCAACATGACATGCACACACGAATGTTTGGGCGTGCCAACCAGAATGGTGCTGAGCATAAACAAAGTGATCCCAGGTAGACATCTGCTCCGCTTATCTGCGATCTTATCTGTGGCATTAGGTGTTTGAGTGTAAATTCTAAACTAAATATCATTTCATTCATCAAATCAGTACGTAATGTCTAGACTAATCAGAAAGGCCAACAAGAAACGGAAGCCACTATCCTTCTTTGTGTTGGCTCAATCTTTGTTCTAAATACACTCCATTACTTCCATTATTCCCTTGGGACTAGCGCTCCACTAAGTTGAGTGTAAAAAATATGGTGACGGCTCTAATATTTCATGGCTTAGAGTCCTGACACATTAATTATTATTCTTTTCTGAATACGTTTCAAGAATATCGGTGATTGTTAAATAAAAACTTGATCAGCCGAGTCCGCTTAAGACGATTTAAGGTCTGATTATGCAGTTCTTACCACGATGAAGTGAGTAGGCCTCAGGTGGCCATTACATTTCACTTACCTACCGGCAGATTTTCTCATTCAGGCTGGACTTCCGTTTCAGCTTCGCCTGGTGAGATTCGAAACAGTCGCACATATCGTGGCAACATGGTACCACTTAGCTCCACAGCCACGGGAGCAAATGTGACTTGCACGAAAGGCTATTTTTTGTAGGATTGTTGGTTGGGCAAAAATGCGTTTACTATCAAAACCGACATTTTTGCTAATGTCCACTTGGTGTTTGCTTTGGAACAATCATAACTTTTTGAGCAAAAACTGTCACCTTACTTTTCAGTTGGAGCAATGCAGCGCTTCAACGTGATTTTTTTATCTTTTACCCTGAGGGACTGCCCCAAATAGTCATTCGGATCACAAGCCTTCACGGGCTATATTCAGGTTTTGTTTCATATCTATGACCTAATATATGTACTTACAACTCATTTGTCCCCATACGCCCTTAATTTCGGCAAATACGCGTGCGATTGCTTACAGGCAGTTGGCGATTTTTGAGAGTAATTCGTCCAGTGAAGATGCTATAATATTAAAAACTGTAATATTCGACGGGATTATAGCATATAAATTCATGTAATTGGTTCCATTCAAAAGTTTTATAAAAGTTTTTATGTAGCTTAATTTTTTCCGTTTATAATTGTAATATAATAGCCAAAGATATTCAAGATTATTATCGCCAAAAGGTTTAGTATCAGTATAGAAAGCAGCATAACCCACTGTGCAAAATTTCTTTTTAAGTAGTGTGCCTTAAATGTTGCGATTGTTCCTTTGTTCATTGTCTGAAACAAAGATGTCGGAAAACGTATTCACCCTATTTCGTTTTCCCACAATGAAATGAGTTGAGCTGACTTTTCCATTGAATTTCACATAGCCTTGCTTTCCCAAAAGT